GTGGGATATTTGTTACTGGAGTGACTTAAACGACTTGCGATGATACACCAGTGTTTACAGGCACAACCGCAGGATTCACAACATTTGTGGTTGGTTCAGTGACTCGTCTAATTAATGGTGGACGAGACAGCATTGGAGAATTAGAATTCTCTCCTTGGTTGGAACCTCTTGCGGCATTTCTTGATCCTCGTCTACACGTCTCCTAGAGTGGGCAACTCCGTGGATCACTACTGGATCGAGATAAACGTTTTCCCTGGTGGAGGCCTCTGTGGGGAAGCACTACCATCATCACCCACTCTATTGTTCACTGTAAAATCAGAACCTGGTTGTGTCGACCAACATTTCCGGTAAGTCGAAGCTGACCGCAGCGATGTGGCATCCAAGCACACTGTTCGGACTCCTCCATAGGCAGTGGCACAGAAGATAACGCTAAACCAGACTCTGAAGCTACAGATGGATCCACCACACTGGCTGGTTTGCAGCTCTCTCAGACGTTCCTACACTAGTCCATGATTTACCGACTTGTTGTACTGTCCCCAGTGTTGTCCCCAGTGTCAATCATCAATTGCATTATCACTGCTCTGTTCAGTGGTGATTTATTTGATCTACATACTCAAGAAGTGACATCGGTACATCCTGTTCACTGTTTCTCCTGATACTCTACTGTAGGTTCAGTTTATTGATGATGGTGAATCATGCTCGGAATTTTTCCGATTGTAGCTGAAAAGTTCTTCCAGCAGAAGTTATTTCACCAGCCTCAGTCTCATATCAATGCTGTATCAACGGAAGTTCCTGGTGAACACTCCAGCACGACTGTCAATGCTCTGGACTCTTCAAGTTCCTGCAGTGACAGATCATTTATGTCCTCGTCAAGGAGAGCATTAGTTGCAGCTTCTAGCAATCTGTTTTGTCGATCAGCCATTGGATGGGTGTCCTATGAGAATTACTTTTTCATTAAAAGCTGACCGTGTACGCATTTCCACTAGTCATTACATCTTCCATTGAATAGTCCGAATTATGTGAACTGTCGCGTTCTGTTACAATAGTGTCGGTCAGTGATATCCATTTCTTCAATTTCATCATCAGTGGTTATCTTCAAGTAGGTTTTCATTTGACAGAGCAATCCGCTCCTCACGCACTCTCTCGCTCTCCTCCAAGATTCTGAGTGGCGAGTCCTCTGTCAGCTCAATGCTTCCAACACTGGTTCTCTGCCTGCACCTGACAAACCCATCTCCGCTTCAGAAGTGTCAACATTTGTCACTTTCCACTCTGGGAGTTCCATCGGTTGGTTTTCTAAGTGTTGATCGTTTGCTTCCGCTCCTTGAGGTTGTGTCAATGTTTGGCCGCCGGGCATCCTGTCTAGTGTGACTCCCATCTGTGTCATCGAGTACATTTTGAGAATCTCGCCGCTTGATCAATTATTATTGTTTCATCAGGAGATTCAATATCAACCGAATTTTGCTACGCTACGAGATAGTCCTGTTGTCCACCTCGTCGGTGGTGTCATTTCCATTAAGGAGCATTCTCGATTGTTTGTTAGTTGAGAGCTTCGAGAAAGCTCTGGGACTTGTAACATCATCTAAGGGAACAAACTCCTCTGAGTACAAACTCGGAGAACGGTCTGGTTTGCAAATGACAGTCGCCGGCTGCATTTTGCTGCGTCGCCCAAATTCTCCTGTTCACTTCCCGCAATATGGAGACAAAGGAGAAGGGGTGTGGTCCACCATGGAAGATGGTCTGCAAGAAGACCATTGCTGGAGTTTCAAGGTAGAGGCTGTAAAATATTTGGCGCAGACGACATTTAGGGATGGGTTCGATAAGGTACACCTTGGGTTACTTTGCTGAGGGCTTGCAATGGATGTCTCTTCAGACGCCGAGGCAGGTGTAACGTTTTCCTGTTCAGGTGACGCAGCATCTGGGTAAAACAGGGGGGGAATACAACATTTTAATTCAATCGCTATCACTCTGTAAGAGGTGTGCATCTGCCCAATGGCCAGCCAAGTGACCCAAACTGCTGATGCTTATTAAAATAATCTCAATTCTCAAAGGAGGATTCAAACGACTAGGAGTATTGTTACTCCCCTGGATAGGACACCCATTGCTGTGTTTATTAAGGTAAATCAATTAACTTACATAAGACTTATACATTACATTGCTAACAGCTTAAAATATATTAAATAGCTCAGTGTACTACTTGCAAACTCGCTCGTCTCACAACTACAGATCCTCTTCATACATCTAGTAGGCTACTGTACATTTTTGAAGCCATGACCTCTGCAAAATTTTGAATCTTCAGTTGTCAAGAGCACAAGGGCATTTCCCCAATCGCTAATTACAATGTAAGTGTATGTCATCCAATATTAACTCACATGGAGTACGGGATGGTTCAATAATGGTGATGGTGCAGTGTAATTTTGCCCTGCACTCTGTCAGCATGCGTCCTTCTTCCAAGTACTTTTTGTAAATTCTTCTGGCCTGATATGCGTAAAAAGATACTTACAATGAAACACCAACCGTACACTCTATAACCACATGATACATTATCACCAAATCACAACAGAATAATACAGCTGTTAGTAATAACAAAAAACTCAAACCTGTTTCTTTGGCATTCAAAGAGATCCCTGAGAGGAACAGTAAGTTTTCCCAAGAAACGGCTGAAGGCAGGTCGTGTACCGGTAAACTTATTTGCGCACTTCAACTTCCAACAAGTTCTCTGCAAACCCAGAAATACAAACTCCTGAAGATGGTAAGTACAAAAAAACATACATGTATGGAAATGTTATGTCAAACCTTGGGCCATGTAAATGGATCCCAATTTTAAGTGAACTTTCAATTGCTTTTGACAGGTTTGAGGAGTCCTTTCATTGTACATTGTACATTTGAGGCTGGCATAAATGTGGGAGAAAATACATATAGCACATATTACATGTACCTGTATTACAGTACTACAGTATTACCATTAAGGTAAGTTTACCTCTCCTCCTTACAATATTTTGATGGCCTCCTCGTGAGAAATAAGAATCTTCTTGAGAGAGACAAGACATGTCTCACAATACAGTGGTAACTTACACACATGTACATGTAGCATGTAACCATTGATGATCCTTCGACACGGTATCCCTAAGCTCCCATGCAGTTTGACCAGAATAACGTGTCCACTAACATTGTCTAATAATTATCAGTGTTCCCATTAACGCACAACGGTGCGTATCTGACGCACAAAAAATAAAAAGGACGCACAGTTTTTAGCCACAGTACGTCCCAGGGACGCACATAAATCAGCGCTCAAAATTTCGAGTGTTTTCATAGTTTGGTCTACTCTTGAGATAAATAAGATTTTTCAAGATACAAAACACACATAAGAAACAATGTTAAAGTTTCACTAGTTTCCTTTACCTTTTCATTACCTCTCCAAGCTGGAAACTATGAAAATTTGGCTGCAAACTCGAAAACGAAGCAAGAATCACAATGATAATCACGCGAACGAGCGAACAACTCTCGGCTCATTGATGGTCAGCGGTCATACTTCATGTAATATTACGTGATGTGTATATCACTTAAAATGCCTTTCTCCTTAGGGGACCCTTAAAAAATAGAAAGGACCCCCAATTACTGGAACTGGGGGTCCTTGGGACTCCTGTTTTCCAAAACTAGTGGGTACACTGATTATTATTATTATTATTATAGGATGTTAACAGTAGTGTTTGTGTGTAGTCTACCTCACTAGACCATTTTGGATTGATGGTGTTAGTTTGTGATGATGTCTTGGCAATCTGTCCATGATGCTGTTTCCATGACCTGAGATGTCGTCGTGATGGCATGATTGACAGCTTGACATATGGGCTGGGCTTGCCAAATATGTTTTTCTTTAAACCATTTGCCTGTAAGCCTGTTAAACATCAAAAGGAATAACACTTTATGGTCAAAACAGGTCAAGCCTAAGTTCTCCCGCAACAATGAAGTCATTAATTCATATACACTGTAGTACATATGGAAATTTTAGGATTTTGATCGACTGTAAGCATGTTCCTGTAGAAGGCAACCTTAGCTAGGAAGGAACATGATAGCTGTATTTAAACTGAAAATACATGTACATGTACCCCTCCCCCCTTCCTGAAAGCTCCCACAATTTTCCCAAACTGCCCTCCTCCCCCACCCCCTCCTGCCTCCTCTCTTAATCAACAAGTTACTCATGTTAGGTTTAGAGGTTGAGCTCTTAAAAATTAATCCCATTACAAGTCCCCAACTGTACATGTATATACATGTAATGTGGTGAACTCCACTTTACCTGCAATGGAGAATTCCAACAGAGTCTCTTCTGGGACAAGTGACCCAAGGCGCGGTCTGCCATGAGGTGATGTAAGCTGTGGAAAAAGAAATCATCATCTGATGATACATCTGTGTCTCATGAGTTGATTCAAACCTGAGGAAACATTTATATGAATTCATTACCTCGGCATAAGGATTGTATATAAAAAGAGTAGGACTTATGGCCTTCACAGAACCAGTGTTGCCATGTATGTACTTGAAGATACACTTGTTTTCAACTGAAAAAAAAAAGTTCAAAATTAAAGTAAAATCACCATAAACAAAACAAAACATTATTTTGGGAGGGGGGAGTGGGGGGAGTTTGGATGTTTATCAACCTTTTATGGTGGAATCAGAGAATAAGCAAGTTGGCATCTATACTCGACTTGGGTTAGAGAGAGGCACTGAGAGAATAGAGCTGTGTCTTGCCCATAATTTTGACCACAATATAATTACCCCAACAAGGGCTCAAACCAGGACCGCTCGATCTGGAGTTCAATACACTAACCATAACCACTAACCACCTCTCACACCGGTTGAAATAGTTACATGCCATGTGACAGAAGTCGAATGTTGAGGACAGTGTTGAGCAGACATACAGGTATTGTGCAATTTATACTACAGTACATGTACATGCAATGCTGTACTGTGTCTTGGATATTAATCTGTAACCTACCAGTAGGTAGGAAGCAGCGCGGTGGCCTAATGGTTAGTGCATTAGACTGCGGATCGAGTGGTCCGGGTTCGATCACTGGACAGGTCATTTTGTTGCATTCTTGGGCAAGACGTTTAACTCTCACAGTGCCTCTCTCCACCCAGGAGTATAAATGGATACAGAATGCTGGGGGTAGCTTGCGATGGACTAGCATCCCATTCGGGGGGGGGGGGGGGGGGGGGGGGAGTAGCAATAATCCTAGTCGCTTCATGCTATGGAAACTGGCATAAGCTCCGACAGTTGTGGGCCACTAGGTTTGTGAAGACTTTACCTACAGTGTACCTACCAGTTACAATAAATATTGGGGACTACAGTCGAACCTTTTGAAAAAGCTGATGACAGATAAGAGTCCGAAATAGAAGGTGATCGACTGATAAAAACATTCAAACACACGTTTATTATCCTCTTGACATGATTCTGTTGTCACTAATCTTTTAATTTTCTACCACATCTTATGCTAATTTATGATGAACCCCTATTAAGCAGCCACTTGCCATTTCCCCGAGGGTGGCCGCTTAATAGAAGTGTTCAACTGGTAGCAGTAATACACAAACCTTCTCCAAGTGTGACATCTCTGCTGATCGCCCATTTGATAGCTCCTCTCTTTGCCCCAGTCACCCCTCTCTGCTTACAGTCTAAATAGTTTGACAGTGATGTTGGGCCATCTAAAAACAAAGCAGTGATTGAAGAATTTCAAGGTTGTTTTTTACTTGAAAGTGAAATTACTCGACAGTTTTTACATGTATGTTGCAAAGCCTCTCGCTCCCTTGGGGAGGGGAGAACAAAAAGAAAGGGGTGAAAGGGCACCCTTCTCCCTTCCCAGCGTCTCCTGCGCGCTTGCTTTCTCTCTCTCTCCAGCCCCCGCTCACTTTATATTTCCCTCTCCCCAATCTTCCCTATTATCCCAAGAAG